TTGCAAAAGAGAATGGATTTTGGTAAAAGCATTTTCTCCTTCAGCGAAATCCGCCGCAAGAATCCTCACCTGAATTTTTGGATTTATTAACAATATTTCGTCTTTTGTGCGTTTAAGTTTTTCTAAGTTTCTGCTGATTAATATTAGATTCATGTTTCTTGCTGCTAATTCCTTAGCATAAGCTTTACCAATACCGTCAGTTGATCCAGTGACAACTAAAATGTTTATTATTATTTTTAATTTATTTTTAAACATAATTTAAAACATATTTAAAAGAATAATATAATTTAAAAATTTATAAATAGATAGATAAGATAAGATAAATAAGAGAATTAAATATTATTTAAAAATTAAGAAAATGGTCTATGGGAATCGCGCTATAAATAGTATGCTTTTTCTATAATAAAATTTAATACGTAATAATTTAAGATTACATTTTTGAAAAACATTTCAGCTACTTTTAATCTTTTAGAATAGATTAAAGAGATTAGCGATATAAATACATATATGCTCTTTTGTAGTCTATCTACCATCAGAATTAACGGCCATCCTGTATATCCTGTATATAAAAAGAGATAGTAAATGTCATATTATAAATAGTAAGAAGAATTAAACGACAAGTCAGAAATTAAAATATCACACAAAAGTAATATACATATATAGTATTTTACTGTTGCGTGAAAGATCAAGAAAGATTAAACTGCAATTTAGAAATTAAAATGATATCACACAAGAATAAAAAGCACAGTTAACCAAAGATTAAAATTGAAAGTTTTAGAACTGACAGAGTAAATGTGTCAAACGTTGCCAGAAACTAAAATATTTACATATAGTTTCTAACGCAACATTTAATATATTTACTCTATTAGTTTTCAAACTTTCAATTTTAATTTTTGATTACTGTATGCATTTTATCTTATAATCTCGTATGATATCACTTTAATTTCTAAGTCGCAGTTTAATCTTTCCTACTATTTGTAATCTGAATCTTACACTGCATTTGCTATCTTTTCAGTATGTATATCTTCTACGTTTCTTTGAGATGCATTCAATCAATTTATGTCATTCAGTTTCCTAACTGATTTGGAATTGTTCTCCAATGGGGGAATAATTGACTATCTCATGAACTGCGATTATTGACACAGTGTAATGCAAACAAAAAGACTACATCTTTTTTATTAGCTTTAGCTAATAATTAGCTTAAAATTAGTCAATATAATTTTTCTTTTTAATGTAATTTTTAATTATTATTAAACTTTATTATATAAAAAATATACACATTATTTACAATTCCAATTCCAATTAGTCTATTTTC